CTCAGCAGCCAATCGCTGCACATGCTAAATGCCTTAAATGCCTGCTCTTCCTCCCTGTCAGTTGTCATTGCAGATGATCACACGCAATGGTAGTTGCAATACAATACTGCTTCTCGTGAGAAAAACCGTAAGAAACAACTAGCTCAAGATGTCCAACTCGGACAATTCGGAACACGAACCTTCTCTGGAAGTCTCCGATCCCGGTTCGGCTCCCCACAGCGGCTTATCAACAGAGGAAGACTTCCTCATCGCCCGGCTCCTGCAGCAGGGCTTTCCCACAGCCCCAGGCCTCACTCTCTCTCAGCGGCGATAGCTCTCGGACCAGGTCTCCAGCGTAGCTCCCCAGTCCGGGGCAGCAGCTCCAGCCAGCTTCCCAGAGAGCAGGACGAGGCCGCAGCCGCGGAGGTAAAAAAGGGCAGGAAGTCGAGCCCTCCAGGATCCCGTCCCCCTCCAAAAAATCCACCCCTTCTCAGGCTCGCCAGTCCGGGAGCGTCACACACCCCTATGGAGAGTAGCGCGGCCGGCTCCCTGCAATCCCTGGCTAGCTCCATGATAGCTATCGATGCTCGCCTCCAGGCTCTGGAAGACTCCGCCACAGGAGCTTCAACTTCCGTTGCACTCAGGTACTAGTTTTAACGAAAACGTTTGCACTCGACCTTACACAGGGTTGGGTTGTAACGGAATACATGTAACGGTGTTACGTAATCGGAAGAAAAAGAAAGAAAAACAAAATCAGTATATTCAGCTGGCGTTACATTTGAAAAAACGAGTAAACTGAGTGCAGTTACTTTCGTAAACCTGAAGTGAATACTTATTGGAATTATTGGTGGAAAGTTTCCTCACAATGTAATATTCATTACCGGCAGAACCGTGTGCACAGCGCTGCAGCGTATCTGCGAGCGAGAGATGCAGCGTGTCCGTGAGGCCCCGCCCCGCACGCAGATGAGAGAGAGAGAGAGAGTTCTCTTTCAAAACATATTGGAAGGTAGAAACGGAGATGTTTAGATAAAACGTGGAAGATAACGTTTATGTAGCATTTATTTATTGTCGAAATGATGACATTCATAACGGGATCAAATCTAACTGAATGGCCTGCTGCTGCCGAATGCATGGGGCAAGTAACTGGGAAAAGTTTTAAAAGTGATTACATCGTTTCAGATAATAAATAATAATGATAATGTATTATATTTAGGGGCGCCTTTCAAAGCACCCAAGGACACCTTACAATGCATAAACTTTTCCAAGGAAAGGTTTTAAGACAGTACAAAGAATGCATTCTGGGTGAGTTTTTCTTTTTATGTGCGGTGCAGATGAGAGAGCTGTCAAGAATGACACTAAAATGTTGTGTTCGTGCTCTTCATAAGCCATTAAAACAGTAAAATACGTGTCTCCCGTTCACCAAAACATACCCATCTGTCATGGAAAAGAAAGTATTCTAAAGAGAAAGAAGAGGAAAAGATAGAAGGAAAAGATAAAAAGAAGAGGAGGGAGGAAGAAAAAGAAGAGGAAAGGAAGTATTCTAAAAGTAATCTGCCACCGGTACCGGCGGGATCGTGGTTAGTTTCCGATGCGCAGAAGAAAAATCTGGCCCACCCTATATTTTTACAGGCCCACCCTAAAGTAAATTTCTGCCTACGCTACTGGTCCGCACAGCAGCAACAACCAATCACATGGATCTCTTGCCCCCGACACACAAAGCAATAGCAATGTTAAAACTAAGTAAACTGGAAAAAAAAAAAAAAAAAAATCCCCAACAGGCGAAAACCTACCAGTTTCACCCACTGTCTCTGCCTCGCTCCTCTGGTTTGTATCCCGGTAGATGAACAGAGACTGATCATACAGCACCGGGCGATTCACTACCGCCATAATGAATTTTCCCTCACATTTTTGGAATATGAGGAATTACCTGCGTAGTCTCTCCCAACATACACGCGGTCTGATTGGCTAGCGCTCGTACCGGCAGATTTGCATAAACGGGATTTCATTGGCTGACGCTTCTGCGGAGGCGCCAAAAGTTGAACATTGCTCAACTTTTTGAAGCGAGCAACGCCAGCAAACGCTCCACGTCGCTTCCCAAAATACAGTTCTACTAAAAGTGACGTCACCCCATTCAAAGTGAATGGGCAGAAGCGTTTGGAAGCTGTAACGCACGCCACCGTGTGGACGGGCCGTCACAGTGGCTCTGCGCCAGAAACATCAACAAATAAATAAATAACTAAAAAAATAAATAAAAAAAAAACATTCTGGAATATCACCCCTCCACTCCCATTAACATCCCTCAGCTAGCAGCTGCGCTATCTACAGATTCCGTGTTTGTTGACTATCTCCCGTCAGGGCTCTCCCAAGGCTTCAGGGTAGGGGTCCTCCCATCTCCCACAGTGACTTTCGTAGCAAGAAACTTACAGTCAGCCGCTAAAGAACCCAACATAGTTTCCCAGCTCATCGACAAAGAACTTCTCAAAGGATATATAATCGGTCCTTTTAGCTCCTCCCCCTTCTCAGTGTTCCGTTCAAATCCCATCGGAATAGCCACACGTAAATAAAAGGCTCATTTTCGATCTGTCCGCTCCCTGCTCCGGCCCATTCTGCAGCGTCAATAGCATCATCCCTCCAGATCAGTTCTCCCTTCACCATGCCTCAGTGGATAATGCAATAAAGATGATCAAGTTCACAGGGCACGGAGCTCGGCTCTCCAAAGCGGACATTACCGATGCCTTCAAATCATCCCCATTCATCCGTCTCAGTGGAACTTGTTCGGTATTAAGTGGGAGTCCAAACTCTATCTTCGCGTTCGCCTGACCTTCGGGTGCAGAAGCAGCCCCTGCATCTTCAATTCCTTCTCGGAAGCGCTCTATTGGATCCTGCTGAACATCGTCAGAATCCCCTCCGTCCTTCACCTACCGGACGACTTCCTCCCCATAAACCCGCCACAGGACAGCTCAGGGATCTCACTGGCCAAGCTTAAACACTGCTTCAGGAGTGAGGTGTCCCTCTCTCCAAAGAGAAAACGTTAGGTCCCGTCACACGCTTAGAGTTCTTAGGCATCATCCTCGACTCCATAGACATGAAGGCGTCTCTCCCCTCAGACAAATCGCAGCCCATCCAGGACATCACCAAGTCATACTGCGAGCAACAAGTTATCACAAAACAGTCGCTCTCCCTTCTCGTACACCTCAACTTCGCCATGCACGTCATCCCCCAGGGGCGCTCGTTCATCTCCCGCCTCCTGGACGCAGCATCAGCGGTCAATAACCTCCATGACTGCGTTTTCTTAGACGAAGGCTGCCGCTCAGACCTTCGGTTCTGGTCCCTCCTGCTCGCCCACTGGAATGGAATTACTTTATTTTACGATGGCCTCGTGCGTTCCTCTGACTCAATGAGGTCTTCACGGATGCCGCCCATCCATGGGTTTTGGGGGGTTTCTTCCAGGGAGAGTGGTTCGCAGAGTCATGGCCCCGTCAATTTCTACCTCAAGCAAGTTCTCACTAAATCCAGCCTATCACCCATATCATACCCGGGGCATTCCTTCAGGATAGGTGCAGCCACCTCTGCTGCTAATCAAGGTCTCTCTACCTCATCCCTACAACAACTAGGACGGTGGTCCTCCTCCGCCTTCACAACCTTCATTCGTCCGGACATCAGCGCCGTACGGGCTTCCCAAAGATCTCTCAGACCCTAACTATGGTAGTTATACATATAACTGGTGGTGGCTCAAACACATTCACAAGTATACATGTCTCACTAAGGTTCCCGATATTCAAAACTGCATTCCTGTCCTAATTCCGCGGGCCCCGCCCACAGGGAATAATGTCTCGTCTCACGCTGCAACCACATGTAACGGGCTTCATCTCCGGCACACAGGTATTTCATTCCCAGGCCTTGCTCAAACGTATCAGTGTAAAATGTATTTCCTGCAGTCCGCGTGGACTCGGGCCACCGTACACTCCGGTGTCAGTTACAAAACAAAGGAAAAAGAAAGAAAGAGTAAAGAAAAAGATATATATATATATATATATATATAGCCTGCGAAGTCAGGCGTGGCGGAAGGCCACCGTACACTTCGGTGCCAGTTACAAAACAAAGGAAAAAGAAATGAAGAGTAAAGAAAAAGATATATATATATATAGCCTGCGAAGTCAGGCGTGGCGGAAGGCCACCGTACACTTCGGTGTCGTAGCGGAAGGCTACCGTACACTTCGGTGTCGTGGACGTTGGGCCACCGTTACAAAACGAAACCGCTCGCTCCTCGGCGTAGTCAAGCCCTGCTGGCCAGGCATGCGACCCGCAGGTCGTTTTCAGGTAAGACCGGCACTGATTTCGGCAGTCAGAGTCTCAGCATGACCAGTAAGCTCCGGCAGTGATTCCGGCACAGTGTCGCTCATATACGTGTTAATCTATTATCTCTCCTTCCCAGATCACCAGTCACCCCACAAGGTAAGCAACTCAGTTCATCTCAGTATTCATACTTCACTGGTTTTGGGGATTTCATCGGAGCGGTGCTTTCCCTCCTGAATGATTATCCTGCAAACCGGGGCCTAATCGCCAAACACCATTACATTCTCCTGTTGTATTATCATGGCAATCATTTCATTCATATGACGTGTAAACAATAAATATGTAATTCTTACATCACGTCTCTCCGGTTTGAAATGAAAGCTTTAGCGCAAGTTCAATAAGGAAGACCTAACTCGAGTCACTCACACGTCACTCTATGGCTCCCTTCCCCCCTCATTAAATACGAGGGCGTCACCCCTCAGCAGCCAATCGCTGCACATGCTAAATGCCTTAAATGCCTGCTCTTCCTCCCTGTCAGTTGTCATTGCAGATGATCACACGCAACCCGCCTCCACCCCTCGCCTCCTGTCTCCTTCAGGACAAAGCTAAACCTTCCTCCTTCAGACCGGTCTCACCTACTCATCACCACCACCACCAGTGTCTAGACCCTGGGGATTTCATCGGAGCGGTGCTTTCCCTCCTGAATGATTATCCTGCAAACCGGGGCCTAATCGCCAAACACCATTACATTCTCCTGTTGTATTATCATGGCAATCATTTCATTCATATGACGTGTAAACAATAAATATGTCATTCTTACATCACGTCTCTCCGGTTTGAACTAGGCTTTTTAGTGGATTTTTATAAACAATTGTTGTCCCAAGAGTATACATCCTACTGACAAAGGTGACCCCCTGACCTTTGTGCAGCTTCTGCAGAGGTCACAAAAGGATGTTACAACTTTTGCATTATTATCCCACCCCCAGATACAGTAGAGTGTTATGACATTTTGTGGAGTAGTAGCAGACTCAGGCTTTCTGAAGGGCAACACATATTAACATTTGTATAATGAGTACTTTTACTTTTGGTACTTTAAGTATATTTTGATGCTGATACTTTTGTACTTCTACTTGAGTAACATTTTGAATGCAGGACTTAACAGAATATTCTGCACTCTGGTACTTTTACTAGAAAATATAAGTAGCCTACTTATCCCACCTCTGATTAACATGCATTAATATATATAATTCAGTATGCTGTGCCAGGTTTGTGTACACTAAAATAACTAAGAAGACAAAATAAAACAACCTTTGATAGCTCCATTAAAGATTGAAATGGAATTGACCAACCTTAGGGAAACTCCCACCGGTCTTTAGTATGACATTCCGGAAATGCTGCTACTTAATGGCGAGGTCATTGATACCTCAGTGCTTGATACACAGCAGGAGGAGGCAGATAGCAGCAGTAGGGATTCAGCTGCCGTTGGATGAGGAATTTATCGGCGTATGAAGAAGGAAACAATATTTTTTCACCGACATTATTCAGCGGGTCTCTCTGATGCTACGCTGTTTGTTGCTGTTTATTCATCCTACCAAAAGAGAAGGAAAATAAAACCCTACATTTTAAATCAGCCGAACTTCTGGTAAGTTCTTATACTAACTAAAACAGCGTGTCTCGTTATAGTATGGTAGACCGGTTAAATGACAACATCGTAATTTACATTCTCGCTACAACATGTTGTTTTGTATTATGCTTTCGTTTCCACAGCCATGTGCTGTGATGTGATGCTGCTGTGATTAGTGACTCGAGATTTAAGTCGACTTTGTGTACTGTAAAGTGCAGAACAAAACTGCCAAAACTCTTGTTACAACTGTTTCAGAGGCGGATATTTTATAAATAAGAGTTTCTGACTCCTCTGATGTTTTTAAGAAGAGTCACACAGAGTCGTGTGAATTTGACATGCGAATATTGAATAGTACTGGCAGTCATTTTTTTAGACCTTTTTTTGACCGCAGGATTGGTGTGCAGTAAATTACTGCTGTCAAAATCTGATAAGACCCACTTTGAGTTGCTTTTCAACCTAATGTGTTATTTCCTGTTTCTGTGGTCGCTTCCTTGTTTGATACGCTTTCTCCATAAACACATCATTTCTAACAAATCCTCTAACAATTCCTGTACTTAAAAATCATTGATTGAATTAACATATTGTAGTAGATGTTGTCAAAAATATTGTCTGCAACGTATATGTATGACTATTGACTACTATTGAAAAATGTGAATATATATATCTATTCAGAGTTAAAACACCTCCTAAAATCCCCTTAAATCTAAAATATCAAATACTGTGTTGTAAGTGTTATAATCCTAAAAACTGATCATTCTTTTTCTTTTGCAGACAGCCTTTACAACAGGAGCCATGGTGGCAGCAGTCCTTAAGTTGTATTTGATTGGAACGGCTCTGAGTGTCCTTGTTGTCTTTTATGTCATCGTGGACTCCTTTGGTGGACTGATGTACGTCCAGGACGATCACTACACAACGGACCAGCAGACACAGAGACAGATCTCCTCAGGCCACAACAGGAAACGATCACCTGTGACTAAAAACATTGACTAATAAGGAGAACCTTTAGGTCACAATGGACTTTTGTGGCAATGATTGTCCAATCGCTGTGGATTATAAATATCCTGCTTCCATTCCTAAGTATGGACATCATGATAATGTCTAACATGCAGGACGTATACTGGATTAGACACTTGTCTTTGTCAGAGCAGCTCTACAACCAATGATACATGTAACGGCACTACTGAACAATGATTTGCACTAAAAATTAGAGTTTGTTTATTTATGATGTGAAATGTAAGAGTTGTTTTTTTTCATTCAAATAAAGTCATTTTTAAATGTTTGAAATGTTGCAATGACTACACACTACAAAATTAAACTGTCTTAGAATGCCTACTAGAGTTTGTTGTAATGTAGCCAATCAAAAATAAAACCATTTCAGCAGTGATTAGGAACTACAGGTTGAGCCTTGCAATATGGCTAAAGGGCAGAATACAATAAAATATGCCTTTTATTACAAGTGTGCAGAACATAGAGTAGTTATATCTGTGAGGGAATATTTTTGTCTTTACTCCTAGATATTTAACCTTATTGCCTGTTGACATTAATAACCAACCAATATTCTGTTATCTCCTTTAAGGAATGTGCTCCAGCACTTGAGTGTCAGTTTTATGGCCTGATGGGGGGGGGTGACAGTCACTACGACTGTGAGAATGCTGGCTTCTAAATACCACTGACAATTGATTGAGTATTTCTAGTTGGGGTAATCTCCTGTAGCTCCACAGATGTTTACGCCTCCCCCAATATGCTCATTAACTCTCTGTAAACTAGTTAAAAGGTCTATCGAGAGATAGGCTGGGCAGAATTGACATGACACCCCACCCGTGCAGTCAGAACCTTTTGCTGCTGTGACTTGTGATATTAATTCTCCGGCCGTTGACTTGTAATAAACTACCAGTGTTTGACATCAAAGCTCCAACTCTCCTCGTGTCTCTCTGAGTCCTGACTCTGCATTGCTGCAGAAGTTTCCCTTACAATATCAAGTTGAAAAACTTGTCCAGTCATGTTTGTTTCTTGTGATTCAACAAATACGCAATATCTCTGGTCTCAATACAGTCCATGAACTCCAGTAGACAAGTAAAGCAGCCATAACACCAGCTCTGCCTGATTTAAAAAGCCCCCCTTTAAATGTAAACGTTCAAAAAATGGCAAAAGACCTGACAAGTTTTTGGGAGAAAAAAAATCTACTTTCCAGAAACGTTGAGGCATACCAAAAAGCGATGTATTGCGCCAATAATAACAATTATATTGGGATGATATGGGTCCTGTGTCAGTGCTCAGGCCCTAAAAATGTGAGGCTTTTCAAAAAGAGGTCTTTACCCCATGTCATTAGCTGATTGTGCAACAGGAGCCCTGTGAGTAGAGTCTGGGTCATTGTTCCTGCAGTCTATGATTAACAATGAATCTGTGCATTGTGAAAAAGATGAAGCCACAGAAAATACCAATGTGTAAACCTCAGAAGCATCAATCTCATTACGCCAATCTTGATTGGCTGTTGATGTTGATGGCCACGTCAGGGAATCCACCCAACCTTAAAATAGCTTGTGCGCGCCATTCAAAATAAGCACCTCTTCTCGCTTCGTATCAGCAAGAAGGGCTGTCTGGTGAGACATCTCCCTCATGCTACTGTTCTCATTAATAGCCTTTGTTCAATGTCTCACTATGGGATATGGAGACTCCCATACTGTCAGACATTCTTATCTCAAACAACCAGTAATGAGACGGATGCTTCTAAGGTATACGCATCCCATAATGAGACATTGAAACAAATTCTATATGAATGATAACATCAGTGACATCTGGCCCTCTGGAACATTTTAGCCTATTTTAACTTGTGTTTTTACTTTTACTGGTTAGTGACTGTATGGTTCAGTCTCATTGTCCTCATCAGACCCAGCTATTATACTCATGAGCTGGTGAAAGGAAAGTGAATACTTTACTTTCATTACATTCATCATGTTAAGCAGGTAAGCGCATGTTAAAACAAATTGTTACCCCAACTCCTCAAGCTGAACTATGTTCATCACCTCTCTTCTTAAATGAGTCAGTTGCTTGTTGTAGTCGACTCCCTCTGTCCGGTGACTCAAAGCTACATTATTAACTAAGCTAAAAGCATTTTCTTTTTGGTGTCCCTCAGGTTTGGTCTGTCCTTCTGTAACTCTGTGTTTCCTGTCTGTAGGCCTGCAGGGCAGTATTAGTCAGCAGCACACCTGGGCGTCCGGTGTCCATGCACAAAGAGTAAAGCAGCAGTCAGGCCAACACTCCTGTGCCTCCCTTTGTTCTAATTTCTTTCATATTAAAACACAAGGCATGTGCAGCACACGTCCACTGATCAAGTCCCTACACCTCTGACTTTATACATTTGTGCTACCCATTTTTTGTGTTCATTTTGTGTAAATTATGAAACAAGGCCTTGTTTGTGCTTTTAGTGTTTTTTCTCCATTAAGTTGATTAAACATTCAAAAACAGTGGAGTTTTGGCAGTTAGGCCTCCATTATGCCCGCTGAAGTGCTCATGTCTCTTTGTCCTCTTTTCCAAGTTGTTCCTGTCCTGAGGGTGAGGGAGTACCAACTTGCTTTAAACGTGTTTCACTATCAGGGATGCTAGTGTTGAGGTTCACACACCAACAGAGACTATAGTCATTTGCGTTGAGACATTAAATACATGACGTCATTGAAATTGCATCTCATGTATTATTTCAGAAATGTTAAATCTTATTAAGATTAAAATGTGGAACAAATAGTAACCTTGTGTTACTTAAAAGGATCAGCAAAAAACTGTGGTAAAAAATAACTGTTTTGAATGAGCTACTTTCACTTCAACCAGTATTTTTTCAACCATATGTTAACATTTTTGAGCTTATTCATTTTCCATGTTAGTAGTGTAAAGTAAACTGTCACAGCTGGGTTTCCAGAGGAGCCTGTGGCAAAACAGCTGTGCTACATCCAAGCACAACTCATATTACTGTTTGGTGTGTCTTCAGATTTCTTAGTGAGAAGTGGCTTCACACACCTAAGTATCATCATTTTGGAAATATATTGAAACCGCACTACAGGAATCATAAACCATGTTATGTCGTGCGTAAAAGCCTTACCCGTCAGCAGGGAGCGTTATGTCGAATAAGTGGCGTCCTCTAACGTTCAGTGGTGCCAACTACAAGGAAGAAAACGTCTCTGATATGCTGCCTTCACGCCTCCTTCAACTTGCAAGAACTTCTCAATTTTTGCTCTTCTTACGCATTCGTTTTTTTATTCCAACGTATTATCTCACAATTCGTCACACTGATTCCCACATCTCCTTTCTTGCATAGGTTGCAAACGGCAACAAGGTGCGTTTCCATCACTTGAAATGTAAATCCGTCTATACGTGCAGGTCACCTGGATGCGGGCAGAAACACCTGTTGGTAGAGGAGGCAGCACTTTTTATGTCCAAGCACGTCCCACCCCCATTAACTGTTAGAGCTCAGCACAAATAACCGAGTTTCGGCTGGCATCTCGGTCACTGGGATATTTATTTTGGTGAGATCTCCTTATTTTCGCATCGGATATGATCTGGAGACTGGTGGTCCTCGGTGGGGTGTACGTCCTTTTCCTGGGGGCTGAAGGCAGCAGCCGCGGGGGGAGGACGGTGACTTTCAGCCGGACTCAGCAGGATGAAAGCCAGGGCCAAGGGCGCGCACGCCAGAGGAGGGACACAAGCAGCTCCTCCGGGACCCCCAGGCCTTTCCACGGTCCTCCTTTCACCTCCTGTCGGACCCCCCTCACCCCTGACGAGCACAGGGTTCTGGATGACAATACGCAAGAGGTGAGGTGTGTTTGAGTTAAATATTGACATTAATATGAAGCTGAGAAAGGCTTGGTGCATATATAGGCATTATACATTTACAATAACTACCTTTAATTAGACATGACAAATCAATTTCAGAGCACAGATTAACTTTTTCTAGGACAAAAAGTTATAATCTTTTCTTGCTTCTTTTACATGTTTTCATTGTTCCAGAATATCTAAATTAAGACGTTTCTCAAAAACCACAATTAAGTAGTGAAACTGTAAAAGAAACAAGTGGAACCAACAATAAACCCAAGCATGATAATGATACTAAATAGCAACTGTTTAAAATGATAAAATGACTGTTTGTTTATCATATTTCTCAGCCCATTCACTCCATTTGCCATCACAGGAAATGAGCATTTTGTATTATTCAATCAATTTATTAGTTCTTTTTTACTTTAGAGGAGATGCTGTTACATGATTATCTCTTCATCTCTCTTCCAGACAGGGTTTAACGGGGATGATGGCGCCCATGTGATTCTCACATGGGTGGGCGATGGTACAGGGGTGAGTGTCTAACAGTACCAGAGGTCAGATCATTGTCATCAACACACCGTGCTGTCTACTTGACTCTTTACAGAAACGTGTTTGGAAGGTCTTATGTTTGGCAGTGTTTGTAATTTCTTTATTCCTAAATATTCTATTTCTGAAGTTGTTCTTTGAAAAATTGGTCTGAAATACAGTTTTTGTGCCCATATTTAGAAATGTAGATAAATGTCTACTCAGATTACTAGATATTTTATAAAATCATTTCAACCACATTGCTGCATTTCCTAGGTCGCCCTGGTGCTATCGACGTTTAGTGCTCCTATAGATTCTTTCATGACCGGAGGCTCCTCACGACTTTACCGAAGGTGAGTAAGGATCTCATATAATATAAGAAATGTTATGAGCACCACAGCCCATCTTGATCAGATCTCAAACATACAACAAATTGTATTTTCTCTCTCATCAGCACGGATTATGCAAAATCCTTTCATGACATTTCCCATCAGATCAACCACACCTTCATAAGGGAGGAATTTGAAGTCAGTGTTGGACCTGGGAGCTCCGTAAGTCAAGAGTATAGAACCCGTTGTGTGAGCACTTAGAGTTTGGGGAACCAGACATGTTGCCATGAGTGTTTGAAATTGCCTCACAAAAAGTGTGACGACATCTCTGCTGTCTGATGATCTGGTGCCACATCTTCTCTCTTAAACCACTTAGTTTAGCCTTTTCTGTCCTCAAAAGTACACCCACACATACTATTTATATTCAAAATGTGGATGTTTTTATACATATTTTCTGCTTTCTCATTATACATCTGGAATATTTGTGAACTGAGGAAGGTTTAAGCAGTGTTAGAATGTAAAACATTATTTTTCTTCTGACATACATGTTGCTTTCATACTACCAACTTTGCATGTCATGTCTGTTTTGATTGACAGGTGATACTGACAGCAGATATACCGG